CACAACTCAACATGCTGTCAACATTCTGAAAAGTTTCATGACTCTAGGTAAAATACTTTTTGGGTTTTCATGAAAACAAAGTTGAAATTGCAAACTTTTATGTAAAGGGAATAATCTAAAAGTAAAAAAATCAATGAAAATACCAGGTGAACAACTACAATGCTGATCAAATTCCTGTAAAGTTTCATGACTCTAGGTCAAATGTTTTGAAAAACATGCGACCAGTTTTAAAATTGAAAAATTTTACAAAGTAAGGGCATTACTCTAAAAATTCTAAAAAATCAACAAAAACCCGGTGCATAATACACTGCTGATAAAACTTTCCTGTAGTTTCAGCTCTGGGTAAATATTTTTTGAGAAACATGCGACAAAAGTTAAAAATTGAAAATTTTACTAAGTAAAGGGCAATAACTAAAAAAATATAAAAATATCTGAGAAAATCCCCCGGGAGCACAATAAATGCTGATCTATTCATGTGAAGTTTCGTGACTCTGGGTTCAAATATTTTTTTGATTTACGTGCGACACAAAAGAGAAGGGACGGACGGAGGAAGAGGGACGGATGGAGGGCGGAGGACAAGGTTTTAATCTAAAGCCCGCCATAAAGAAGGGCACAAAAAAATTGATTTTTGCTTGGATATTCAAAAGTAAAAGAAACGATTTTTTAAAGCTGATTGTGTTCACATATTTTTGATTTCGATTAAATTTAAATTGTTAAAGTTAAAATATTTATATCACTTGTAACCCTTTTTGTTTTTCCCTTGCAAAAAACTAGCGCAGGGTTGAACCCCCAAATTAAAAAAGAAAAAATGTTTTCATTACTCTTATCAAAAAAACAAAAATAAAATTGGAATCAACAAACAAATATTACGCCTTAAATAAATAGTGTTCGTTCACTTGATTCATTAAAGATTTTTTATTTTTTCTGTATTTCACTGCAAAGGGGTTAATTATTCTGGTTGGGTTTGCCCTTCCCTATTGGGCGTGCACTCAGTGCTCAGGCTATATGTTATGTCTGCTCAAATTTTATTTTGTTTTATTGAAAACCATAAACTTCAATGGACGTTCCAAATTCAATGCAGGGCTGATCCTTCACTAATTAAATAGGTAATGGTTTGTTTGACGTACTAATAAGTTTTCAGTCCCACTGGGGAAAGGTCAAAATAGCCTCTATAAAATTATTTTTAAAAAAGGTGGGGCTCGAGTGAACCCCCCAATTTTTCCTGCCAATTAAGCTAGCTGTGGATATCTCTGCTCTAAAAAATTTTTGAATTCAAAGTAGCTGCCCTATAAACAAACCTTAAAGCTACAGGCCTCCAGATGAACCAAAAATATTTCAAGAAAAACAAACTTAAGAAAAAACGTAACTCAGATTTTAAGAGAAATAAAAAGATTTAAGATTCAAGTAAATATTTATGTGCTAAATGTCTTAAACGACCGAAGTCGAAGTTCTTATTACCATAGTTCTACTGCGTGACTAAGACAGTAATGGCTATCATTGTATATTTTGGCCTTTGTGGTAATTTAAGTAGACTGTAAAATTACTGCTGTTTGTAATGTGTAAATTACTTTCCTTGTTCAATACACTATATTTTTCTTTTTTCGATACATTTTCAAAATTTACATGAAGAATGGGCATGAATCTGGAGGCATGCTGCTTTAACCTGCGAAAATTATTAAATGGACTTTTCAACATTTTATTTTAAGGAACAGTCCATTATAAATTATTATAACTAATTATCACATGAAAATGAAAATTGGAAGTTAGCAAACAGTAAAGAGGCTGGTCAAACTGCACAGATGTGCAGGCTGGCCGGGCTCTATTCTGGAGGCAAAGACTAATGACTTTCGCTTTCAGCAGGCTAAGAAACAAATCTATACATATATTCATAAAATATACTTTTACCTCATCATAATCAGTAGGTTCCAGTTCTGTGATAAGGATGTAACATGCCAAGATCAGTTTGCCGGTGCTCATCTCATATCTTTCGTTCTTTCTTAATTTCAAATCCTGAAACTGAAATATAGGTTAAATTTTTTTATCTATTTATAGATTGAAAATTAAGATGTTATCGGAGTGTCACAATCAAAGTCACTAGATCATTACAAAATACACGTTATGCATTAGAAATAATTATTACATAAAAATGTATATTTTATAGTGAAATTATAATAAGAGATATTTTTATCTCACATATTTGTAATACATTCATAATTATCTCCCTTCCTTCGGCACAATCACTTATGTAGTGCCGATATCTTTTACCTATTCGTGAATTTAGTTATTGAATGTATATTTTTTTTGTATTTAGATTGTAATACTTTAAGGAAGCGAGTGATCTCGGAAAGAATAGTTTTTTATATTATGTTCAGTTCATTTTTTTCTAGAAAAGCAACAATAAATACAAAAAGTCATGGTCCCTCTGAAATTAACATGCTTTCAAAATACAAACATTGTACCAAATTAAAAGTTGTTGTTATTAATGAACTTTTAATCAGTACTTTCTGATTATTTTATGTGGTACAATATGTTGATTAACTCTCAGCCTTCTAGTGCCAGCATAATATACATGTACCCGTGCGACCAGTGCAGACCAAAACCAGTCGGCATATCCTTGACATCTGCTCATGATCTGCACTATTCGATATTAAGTCAGTACATATTTTGAAATTTTCCCTTAAAATGAGTAATGGTTTTGTCCAGATTTGAAGATGGTTTGAGTTAAAGGTGTAATCAGCGACTCACAAACCCTTATCTGTAAAATGTATTGTTCTATGTTTAGCTAAGTTTTGTATTTCTTCAAAATATCTTTACTTACCTCGACACTGAACGTCAGGGGAAGTAACTGAGATCACAACATCGAGTAGCAGACACACCGGAAGTCGCAAATTTCCACTTTAAAATTTATTGTCGTCTACTACCTGTGGATACACTATTGGTAACATGGTCGAACAAATGTTACATTTTTTTAGCATATTAAAAATAATTGTAAGTTATTTGTTTAAATTACTGAAATGTTCTTAATGACCCATAACTCAGCATTATTATGCTCATTTAATAAGAATATATTGTAAACTTAAATTATTATTTTAAACATGACTGCTTTAAATCAAGTTGACTAAGTGGCATACATGTAATTATAAATCAAATTCTAGTTAAAAGTTAAAGGTGTTTAGATTATGTTCCCCGTTACACAATCATAATGAATTCTGAGGTAGGAAGTTACACACAAAACATATGCAAAACGAAGTGACTAAAATAGCCCTAACTCGTTTTTCAAATAGTTGGGCTAAAATGGTTCATTATGAAACATTAGACAATAATGATATGTCAACATAATTATTACATTGACACGAAAGCTTATTTTTCAAAAAGTAGACAAGACATACGTTACAAAGTTATGATTTCCTTTTTCAAACCCTAACATGCTGAAAGCGAGTCCAGTATAGAGCTGGGCCAGCCTGTAATTTCGGGCAGTCTGATATGGTGCATGATTGCATCTGCGCGATAACTGTCGTCTGCTAGGATTCTTCCCCCCGCCATTTCCTGCTTTACGTCTGCTAAATGATCAATAAACATTTTTTCAATAGTATGAATTATATGGTAGTAATATTTAGAAATATACAATTTTATCTAGTTTGTCTTTCAAAAGTAATCCAGTGATGTTTTCTTACGTCATCTGAAAACAAACGAAAAACCAAAGAACAATAATATTATACTAGTCTAAAATGTCGCATTCTACATCTAAAATAATAAGTATATATAATTGTTAAAAATGTCGCATTCAACACCCGAATATCATTATTAGAAATGTCACGTTCTAAATCTAAAAGAATCAATGTTATCTTTAATATATTGTCGCATTCTCCACCTATGTATTTATATAATTATCAAAAATATCACATTACTATTAAACATCAATATAATTATACAGAATTGGGTATTGTACAGCTAAAAATTCAATATAACTATAAATGTGTCTCCCATTTCTAATGAAATTGATATAACTATTTGAAATGATGAATAATAATAATTCGACTAGTACATGTACATGTTTAACAAAATCCAAAATCCAAAATTTTCAAATCGATCACAATGTATCAGCAAAGAATCAACTGTCTTATCGACCATCAATTCCCAAACTATTCAGAAATAAGGCCAGAATTTTCGACAAAGAAAAACAACCATAACACACAAATGACATTTACAACTCCAACAAAGGCAAAGAAAAACTACCATAACACACATAAACAACTCCAACAAAGAGACAAACTAAAACACCGAACCAAAATCGAATAACCCCAATCACACACCAACTCCAAAAAATTGAGAAAGAAACCAAAACAACCAAAATAGATATAAACAATGCACACAAAATATCGTCAATATACATAAACATAAATCATAGTTTTCAATTTTGACAAAGAATCTTCATTTCTAAAATAAAATTTTGTAATTCTACGCAATTTCAGTTACTGACATAATACCATTTACATGTGTGTATATATATATATATATATATATATATATATATATATATATATATATATATATATATATATATATATATATATATATATATATATATATCAAATTTCTTATAATGTCAAATTTTCCAAATGTAAATTGAATTAAATAAGTATGCTGTTTTAATGTTGCATAATGTGTGCTGTCCTTGTTCCACAAGCATGGCCCGATATAGTATGATTACTTGCTAGTTCATTTGTTCCTTTTGAAATTTCATCTTCTGAAACTGATAAAACTTACGAAGAAAAGTTAAAACTCATTTGTCTAAAAATAACTAGTTTCTAAAAAAGCTCGTTTCTATAAATAACTAAATTTACCCGATGCTCACTTGAACAACGTCATTTCATCATCACTGTAACACCCATGGACGTCCTTATCAAAACACATGGCCATATCACACGTCAATCATCAGTGTCAATACTTTGTTAGACCTCATATGCCAACTATCAATTATTCATATCTGTATTTTGTTTTATATCATAAGCCAATTATCATAATGGTCAAAAATAACTCTGATCGAAACGTCACATGAAAAATTAAAAGTTTAACATGTATAATCCTTATAATTAATGCTAATTTATAATTAAAGTCCTTATTCATGGACAATTTAACTTTGTGTCAAACAAATTGTACCTACGAAAAATATTTGATAATTTACAAATTTTATGTGATACAATAACATTTCCCGGATTTTCTGTGAAATATTTACATTTTTTCCTTAAAAAATAAACAGTAACGCTTTCCCGATTTTCATGTGTAATAATATTACGTTTCGGCTATATAGTTTTTATTAATAAAATATAAAATAAATTACATTTTTGATTGATACAAAGTTCTTCGACGTCCTAAAATAAAAGAAACAATTCCAAACCTGCCATACTTTTGTTTCCGTCACGTCCCTCTCACAAACTTCACGCAAATGTAGCTAACAGTAAAGTGCATGGAAAATCACTCGACCATGAATCTTGAGCGCTCGGGGACAATCTTGTATGTTTAACCACTGATTGATTCTCACCAAAAAAAACTTTACTAAACAAATCCGATAAAGACGCCAGCAAAACATTTTCCGATCTCTTTTCAGTCACACGATTTAATTTGCTATGTATTTATATGAAACTATTGTTCCCCGCCTGGATAATTCAAGCACATCATCACGTGACATACGCGAAACAGTTTTTATTCGTCATTCGAGCATTAAGACGCAAGAACAATTGGAAGTGGTATCAAAATGAAATATTGAAAGAAGCTGGGACCTTAAAGTTAAAAACGGTTTATAATATATAAGTTTGTTAAGGTATTTAATTAAAGGAGCTCTGTAACACCGCACTTTGGGGTCAAACGCACTTTGGGGTCCGACCCCAAAGTGCGTTACGTACTTTGGGGTCCAACCCCAAAGTGCGTTACGCACTTTGGGGTCTAATTTCGACCCCAAAGTGCGTTAAACAGGTACATATGCATTTTTTAACATCAGGCAAACGACCGCACTTTGGGGTCAGAGAAAATTTATGTTCATTATGTTTTAAATGATATAGTGTAGTCAAAACCAATGGTAAACAAAAATCAAGGTATTAAATAGACACAAAACATGTGCCCTGAATCAATAGGAATTTAAATGGTCTTGATCAATAAGTGAAGGACTTTCACTAAATAAATCACCAAATAAAGAATTTGTATCAATTATTAAGCTTAAAATATGTTTTTCTCAAATTTTCAATGCCTGATAATATGTTAAAATAGTCATTTATTTAGCTAAATGTGACACATAAGAAACTTGACAAGGTGTAAATGCAGCTTTTAGAAATAGTCCGTACAGGCAGTACTAAAATATCAACTATTTAAGTAGTCGCACATTAAGAGCGGAGCTTCAGAATAATGTAAAAATCTCACTGGGGGTATAGAGGGGAGTGTGGGGTATCGATCCCCGAGGGTTAAAAATAACATTTTAAAGGCCAATTATGCTTTTATTTTTTTTATTTTGATGTTCTTCTATATCATCAAAAAATACACATTGGTCAATTACCTGAACCATCCTTTTCATCTGTTGCTTCTTGACAATGATGAGTACAGTTATTGTGAATAAGTATTTTATACGGAAATACTACATTGTTTTGACTTTTTTTATAAAAAATAATTTCACATTTATCGCTACTTTATTCAGCTAACAAGCATCTTACATTTCTCTGATACCATTATTTTAACATTATAAAATTCATGTTTGCTCTTGTAAGATTTCCTATTAAAAAAGCCTCTGGTGAACGGTTGTTACGGAGCTTACAAAAACCCTTTAGTGTGTTGATAAGCTTAATACTGTATTTGTAAAAATCACTATTTATAGTCCGATCGAAAAACTTGATGTTTCACCAGAACATTGTAATAGAGTATATTTATAGTACTTTGGAAAAAAAATATTAACTGCATTTTATTTCATTCCCAACATATTTAAAATGGGGCTCAACATGGCACCAAAAGTTATCAATTAAATGACTGACAGAACGGAACATTTTTGCAGCACCTTTAAATTTAGGAATACACAATTTCTGTACGTCTAGAGTATTTTGAACGGTGGCATAAAAGTGACATTTGCATCTTTTTTTGTTTTTGATACTTTTTTTTTGTTTTTTTTCTTCGTACATATTTTTGGTGTTTTTTTTTGTTTGTCGTACCACGGATTTATAATATTTTTTAGTTTTGAATACATACTTTTTTTTAGTTTTGAATACATACTTTTTTTTTAGTTTTGCATATATATTCTTTTTTAGTTTTGCATACATATTCTTTTTTAGTTTTGCATACATATTTTATTTTAGTTTTGCATACATATTTTATTTGAGTTTTTTTTAATTTTTTTTATTTTTTGTTTTGTGTGTTTTTTTTACTTTTTTACATGACGCCATTTGCAAAGTAGAGGTTTGGATAATTACGCCATTTGTAAAACACCATTTTCAAACACTTCGCCATCTGTAAATTACAGTACCCTATTTGCAAACGCCATTTGCAAACGCCATTTGCAAATACCAACATTTTCATTTTTGGAGGTATCAAAAATATAACAACACTTTTTAGTATATATATACATGTATATACATGTATATATATATATATTTTTCTAAATCAGTGAAATATAAGGACCTATTTAGATCTTTTATTGTGCATTATTGTAATACACCAGTCATTTGTAACCACCTCCCTTGCCCCAGGGGGAGTGCGGGTTAAAAAGGAATCGTGTTTCGATGTCTGCACTGTTCCGGGGCATATGGCAGGAATGTTATTATCTGAATATCCCCCGCAGGGCGAAGATTTTACCAGTGGTCGGCTTGGTTTAAAGTCAATGCCCCCGCTATTCTCAGGGAGTGTGGGGCCTCCGTGGCCGAGTGGTTAAGGTCGCTGACTTGAGATCACAGGTCCCTCACCGCTGTAGGTTCGATCCTCACTCGGGTCGAAATCTTTCATGTGAGGAAGCCATCCAGCTGGCTTACGGAAGGTCGGTGGTTCTACCCAGGTGCCCGCTCGTGCCTGAAATAGTGCCCGAAGGGGCACCTGGGGTCTTTCTCCACAAATAAAGTTGGAACAAAATCGACGAAAAAATCTCGGCGGGACGCTCTAGGATGTCCCGACTTGAGTGTACGGTCGCCCATATGGGCTTTCCGGCGGCGACCTTAAATAAACGTATTAAAAAAAAATTCTCAGGGAGTGGGGTTGAGTGGTGCATATTCATGGAATAATAACTGATCACCAATCAACAGCCCTTTCCAAATAGACACTACCATAATAGCATATAATAATTAAAAAACAATAATTATATAAAATACATATGATTTAAAAAATGGGCCGAAAACCAGACTTGCCCGGCCAAAAACGACTGGACCGATTCCAGAAATTGGCCGAAATTCGACCAAACCACTGTGCTAGTTTTATACTCAACTATGGGCTGTTATGAGATGCGAAGGCTGTTTTGTAAAATATGTAAGGCTAAAATATGTACGAAAAATAAAATAATAAAGTATGTACGAAAAACTACAATAAAATATGAATGCAAAACTCAAAAAAAAAATATGAATGCAAAACTGAAAAAAAAATATGTATGCAAAACTTAAATAAAAAAAATTCAAATGTCATTTTTATGCATTATTTTGTTATATGAACACAATTTTTCGATATTTAAAGTGGTAAAATAATGAAACTTTTATCACATAAGCATCATCAAAGTATTGACCGCCATCTTGAACTCCACCTCAAATATTTCAATGTCGCAGATCGAAAATAAGTCAGTTCTCAGTATTTAAGCAGAACGCAGATTACACCTTTAGACCTCTGGAACCCAAAGTGCGTTGATATGTAGCATATTAACGCACTTTGGGGTCAATTTCTCGATTTTGACCCCAAAGTGCGTTTGACCCCAAAGTGCGGTGCGAAGTTTAACGCACTTTGGGGTCGGACCCCAAAGTGCGTTTGACCCCAAAGTGCGGTGTTACAGAGCTCCATTGTGGTCCTAAAACCTAAACACATAAAAAATACATTCTTACATAGATAAACTGCAGGACAAATAAACAAAAGATGTTAAAATATATAGGGGATATTCAAGTTTTTTTTCTGTAAATACACGATTACTTTTCAAGTGGTATGAGAAAAAATATTTCATGAGAGGCGGTAGCCACGAGTGAAATGTGATAATTTTCATGCCACAAGATGAAAATAAATCATGTATTTATAGAAAAATCTTGAATTTTCTGTTTATTATATACATTTGTCTCTATTTTTGTGTCGCCTCTACGGAGTAGTGGCGACATATAGGGATCACTTCTCTGTCGTCTGTATGTCGGTCTGTCCGTCCGTCACAAAACTTGTCCGGACTACTCCTCATTAATTACTGGTGCAATTTCATCCAAACTTTACAGGAATGATCAGTACCAAGTCTAGTTGTGCATATTGTCAGCATTTTCCGGTTCAATGATTTTTGTAAGAGATATGGCCCTTTAATAATTTTTATTTTTAAAGTTTGTCCGGACTACTTCTCTTATACCACTAATGCAATTTCAATGAAACTTTACAGGATTGATCTGTAGCTCAAGTCCTTGCGCATATTGCACGGGTTTTCCGGTTGAATGATTTTTGGCCGAGTTATGGCCCTTTGATAACAAGGTGTTTTTTTTCTGTGTGTTGCCAGATACACAAAAACTTGTCCGGACTACTCCTCATAAACTGCTGGTGCAATTTTATCCAAACTTTACAGGAATGATCAGTACCAAGTGTAGTTGTGCACTGTCTGTCTGTCTGTCTGCCCGTCTGTCACAAAACTTGTCCCAACTACTCCTCATAAACTACTGGGGCAATTTCATCCTAACTTTACAGGAATTTATGTCGCCACTACTCCGATCACTTCTCCGTCTGTCACAAAACTTGTTAAATTACAATTTAGAAGACTATTCCTTAAATTTTGTGTACTGGCAGAATTTAAAAAAAAAGAGAAGTCCGGCAAGACACCAGTGAAAACACAGAAAATATGTTTTACTAAAATACTTTTTTACAATGAAGTACGAAAATGAAAATAAGCGTTGTATTTCATCAATATTTCTCAATATTTCATTTATAGGTATACAATAAATATATGTACTCTGATTTGATTTCGATATAAATTCTATTTTGTCAAGGATCTTAATTACAATGTAATATATAAATCCGCGATTATGTGTTAGTCTTGTCCGATTTGGGTTAAAAGCGTTTAACCACTTTTCATTTTTGGATCATTTTGCACTAATACTGGAAAAATGGAGTGAGCGAATAATCTGAAATCTTGCACACAAGTTAACGTGCATCCAATAGTATATAAATTTAGAAAAAGATATTACCAGTTTCGTCATAGCAATAACGTTTATTAGAGATGTCGATTTATCTTTATTTAAAAAATTCATACCCTGGTTTGTATATTTTAACTGGAACAATAATATATTTTTGGTCCCAGATTTTAATTAGAATAGGAAACACATTTGTGAGATTGTAACAAATGTGAACAAAAAAGTAAATGACATGAACACGGACTTATTTTAAAAAAAATCAGCATCAGACTAAAATAACAAAATTGAAAAAAACATAATAAAAAAAACAGATTGCAAAAGTAGAAAATAAAAAATATTCATAAGATTGTTCAAAATGCAGCGCGTATATATCACATTTACACTAATTTATTTCTGTTGCTCTGGCTATTAAAATAGCTAGAACTGACACTGAAAATTTCATTGATAGGTATAGAATTCTATATCTTTTTTAATTGTTTTTTATTTGATTTTCTCGTGTAGTCTATAGCCGGGCAAGCCACTTATTTGTGGTAATCTCAGGGGCAGGTAACTTATACATACGTCTGAAATATCTTTTTTCCTTTTGTAATGTTTTTCAGTATATTTTTCCATATTTTCAACCAAAAAAATCCATGAAATATTTCTGTTACCTTTTTCATAAGAGGTAATTTTAATTCTTTAAAAATATACCATTTCGAAATCACATACCATTTTCTTCGATAAATGCCACAATTTAAGCAAAAGAAGAAATATTCAATATTCTGTTCTTTACCAGTTACAAATACAGAGAAAGTTAGCTAATAAAAATAAGAAATACTTTTCATGTGATAAACCTGAAAACGAGAACGGTGAATGGTTTTCTCTAATGCAAAGTTTAGAACATTTTTAATTCTGACTCCAAATAGGTCCTACAGTTATTTCTTTTTAGTTTTGACTGTAAACTCTACTTATTTTGGATATGTGATTTTCTATTACTTAATTCATTTAAGTCGTTGGTTAATTAAATAAAGAAGTAATATTTTATCAAACGTTTTCAATAATTCAGTACTGAACCCTAAGCGACCATGTACTGCACAGTCTGAGTTAAACCTGGAAACTTAAAGACTGTTGTTTTCTTATTTCTCATATTATGTTTCTTTTTTAACCAAATGTCAGATTGTTGGCGTCTGCGCCGAAGCGCGGCGCCCCTTATGGAACGAAATCAGATTTTGTGAAAGAGCAAGTGCAACTTCTCGGGCCTTTTCGTCAGTCATAATAGCCGATCATTCCGATTGGTACGAGGGTGTTAGATTATCAAAAATGAAAGGTCGCGATATGTACAAGTGAACTGGAGAATTTCGCAATGCAAACATATTCAATGAATAACGAACTGGAGAATTTTGCAGGAAATGAAATGCAAACATATTCAACATTAATTGCACTCTTTATAAATCTATAGAAAAAAATTAAGTATGCCATTTTTACGAATTGTTATATCATTTTGAAATTATCTTTTCTTTTTTGAGCGAAATGTTGATTTGCCGAATATTGTGACATTGTGACATTTTAACAACAGAAACTTTCGTCTGCATTTTTAACATGAGTTATAATGGGTTTTATTAATAGGAATGTAAACACACGGGTGGGTCAGGTTTTTGAAGTAATTCATTAACCCCTCCAATAAACCAATTGACAGACTTAGTTCATTTTGACTACTATTTTGTATGTTCCAAAGAAAATACCACATGAACTTGAAATTCTATCAAATAACCAATGTTAATGATGATATCCAAAAATACTCTCTATACAGTATAAATAAACTTATACCATATAGGGGGTTATATTTTGGATATAAGAAACCTGTATATTTTATCGTTAATATTGATATAACTTTAAGTTCTGGTGGAAAAAACATTTAATATTCTAATCTCTAGCATGCCTACAGAAAGTTCATGATGAACAATGTCTATCGTCTGATATACAATTCTGGTAAAAACCAATTAACCATTGAAAAGTTTATAAGAATATCTGGTCATCAGATGTCTACTAGTTCATCTTCAATGCCGAATTTCTTGATTGGACGCCCTTTGATGCTTTGCATCAATGCTTTTCTTGTAAGATATATAAATATATATATCAAATATGCGCACGGTTTATAACAATATCATTGTGGCTATTTTGTATCATAAGCAAAAATAAAAAACACGTTCCCTATTGTCGCAAAATTAAACTCTTTTGTATCATAGGCAAAAATAAAAACACGTTCCCTGTTGTCGCAATATGAATCCCCAGAAAAAGTAACCAATGAACGAGCATCTAAATATGTACTCTCCTGCGCATCGGTCGAATATTCTTCTATCGCTCACTTTCTTGTCTGAAGTAGCGTGAATGTATTCAGTGAGCTGCGAAGGGAGCGTACTAAATATGACATTTCTATCGTTATCCCTTTCACTGTCGTTACAATAAGTAAACCCCAGAAAAAAATGAACCAATCACTGGACATGCTTTCGAGTGCGAGTAACTAAAATTGCACTCCAGTTAACGCACTATGACTGTTTACGTATACGATTGAACTCTGACACAGTTTCAACAGAAAGGTCCCCAAACTACGATACAAGTATGAATTGGTGTTTTCAGTATGGTAATTTAACACAGTGACATTGAAAACTGAGATTGTTTTTCATATTTAAGAAGCAGGTTCTGTTAATCTTTACGAGAATTTCTTTTATATGTTTGTTGTTAAATCTCGAACTCAAGGTCTTTTTAAGTCCCAGGATGAAAGTAAAATATTCAACTATTCTAACAAAGGAATTACAATGGAAGGAATATGGAAGCTCAACACAAACACCTATTTTCACAAATAAAAATCATATTATGTTAATTAAACGAAAGAAACACGTTTCTTTGATGTCAAAATAAAGAAAGTGTTGTACTCTATTGAAAAATGAGTTATCTCAAACCCTCATAATGGACAATTATTGTATCGGGACAAACGAAAAATCAAACAATTGTTGTCAATTCTTCTATAAAAAAGGCATTTACACTTTTCAAAAGCTCCAAAATATGGTTGTTTGCGCATTTATCATACATACCCTGTAATGTTGGTGTATTTAGGGGTCGTTTTGCACACATATGTACGTGTTTTAACCAAAATTAGGCAAAAGTGGCTTCCCCTCGTCAAACTGTACAGAAGTGATGGCACAAATGGCAATGAATTGCACCGTGTGTGTGTAATAAGTTGGAAAAGTACATATGTTGGCTCCAGTCTCACTAGGTGTTTCCAGTAAAACATTAAAGCATAAAGCAGAATTCAGTCATAAACTTACCAACAAAAGCTAACAGCCATATTTTATCCACCGCTTCTGCGACGAAATTTCCACCTCAGTCTCGATGGACCCACCGCTTCTGCGAACGCTTTGGCCAGTGTGATTATTATATTCTTGTTTTACAATTGTATAAATCATTTTACTATTCTTTGTAATAGTCTTATCGTGATTTTTTTGCAATTTAACAGTCCTGTTCAAAATTGGTTATGCGTTATATTTTTTTTAAATAATGACAATTTTGTACTTAGTTGTATATACTTTTATTTTCTCGTATGTATGATACATAATCATAAATAATTACCAAAATTATGTTAATATAAGACATATAATAGTTTATTATATGTGCGATTTTCCAGCAATCAAATTACACAAGGAAAGAACGGAAGTTTGCGTCATTACAAAGAGCTCATTTATAATCATACAGTCTATTACAATACAGTATGATACCGACTTGTACAGACATAAATATATATAGGCAGTGGATCAGCCGCAATGAACAACATGTGAAACACGTATTAGCCTACTTCGTACATGAGTAAAGAGCTGCTCCATTAAGGTCTTAGACCCATCATTGACATATCTTAGAACTTATGGAATGTTAATATTTATTGAATCTATGCTACATGCCTGACATGTTTGCAAATTTTCATTGACTTTTACCATCTGACAAAGTGTATGTTTTCGGCCTTTCTCTTTCAGGATCATGTCAAATTTGCCAGAGTTGAACTATAGAAATGAGCTTATTTTCAACAGATATTGCAAAAACATTAGAAATTTGGTCCCAAATTGTAGTACATTTATTATATTATAAAAATAAAATATCATTTGAGTGACAGTATTTGCAATAAAACTTATGAAAACAAAAATATGTTACCATTGTTACTCGGAAAATGGCCATATCGTGAAAAAGTAGACTTGTACTTCAATTTTTCTAAGAATTTTCTATAACCTACTTACAAGGTCCAGCCAATTGAAATACATAGAAATTATCTAACATACCATATGAGAAAAATAACAAAAGAAAAACATCATTTACCATGTTGTTTGTAAAATATACAGCATTATATTTGACAACCCCGTAAACTGATTTTGGCCATTTTTCATTACCAATACACATTTCTTTATGTAAAATTCAAAATACATTTTGAAAAGTATCAAACATTCTTAAAATGACCAAATTATCATGAAGCTATAGTCTAAGCATTCTATAAATATGTTAATTACTGTACATACTGAGTAAATGGAAAAATTGTCAACTTGAAATGGACCTCGACGTATTGTTCTGACTTTAGAAAGAGCACGACCAGTGTACTAAACTGTATAATTCACAAAGTATCACATCTGGAGCAACACAGAAGTATATCATATAAAAATGCTATGTCATACACTAATTCCTTGAAAAATACTGTGCAAGGGCAGGGATAACAGTTTCTAATGTCCTTTTAGTATTAGTTACTCGTGGCTGACCATCACAGTTCTTCATCACGAAAATGTTCCGAAGACCATCTTCGCCTTGGCGCTTAAAGATGCACCTTAGATGTTGTAGGTTCAAGCCGGACGCAGCAATATTCTCGGCTGAAGTTAACTTACACACACTATTATAAATCAATACTCTAAGTGACGGCAAATTCTTTGCTTTTTCCCGACTGCACAACTGGGAATTGTACACAGATTTTGCTGAAAATGTGTGCGGCAGCAGATCAACAGATAATATGTCCAAGTGGTGAATAAGTTTACCAAGAATCGTGACATCTTCTGAAGCATTATGAGCACAGTATGAAGCTCCCAATAGATCCTTTGCAAGGTCTTCCTGTTTGTAAGACTTCCTGTTTGGGTATGCTTTTCTAAATATAGACAGTGAATCCGCGCATCCAGCAACACACTTACGCACTCTGTCCCTCAATCCTACATTGTCACATGCCGTCAACAAAACAGGAAAGTCAAATCTTCTGCCATTATGCGCAACCAATACAACATTCTGAAATTGTTCTAACCAATCACAATATGATTTCAAGGCTTCATATATGGAATAAGCCCCTACATTAGTTCCATTGTACTGCATCTTGTGATCCACCATTCTTAGGCCGGTCACTTCTTGTGCCTTGTCGGATATGGGTCATGTAGGTAGAACATACATATTGAAAGCTTTCCCACTTTTAGGTTCTGTGGCAGCAACCTGGGTAATATGTGGGATCTGGCCATCGTGTACTGAAACAAACAACACAATTATTTATAAATAGGACACATTGACATTTGCTGAAATTGCCAAATCACATGCCTGGCTGTTTTACGTGCTCTTATAATAATCTGAGATCTTATTCAAATTCAACTTGTTCCGAATAAGGATATATTGCATATTTTTTTACAATTATATTTTAAGAGACGTCTAATCACTCAACCTAGTATCGAATGACGATAACCTAAATGAAAACGACTGTGTTACAGTTTTTGTTAATTTCATCTAATTTTTATTTGGTAAACTTTATATAACGTCATTATGACGTCATAACGTCACGACGTCAATAACTTACTTAGCAACGTCAGAATTATAAGAATGAAGTTACTTTGTTGTTTGTGATCACACATTAAAGTGAAATATATTTATTTGGCGTTGGCGTTAGCATTAACCAGGTGTTGGATTTTTAACAGTTTTCACATGATATATATCAACGAATTCGCAATACAGGTCTACTTAATATGGCCAGTTGTCTCCAGGTCAAAAGCAATGTATGTAGGCTGTCCTGTTGGCAGCACTATAAGTTTGAAGTCACCACGAGGGACTGGATCTGGCAGCTTTTGGATGTCAGCATCATCTGAATGCCCAATCTCTGAAATACAAATATAGATTAGAATATAACCTATAAAAGTAAACAAAAGGTAATTTGCAAACTTTGTTTTAGTAATGTTTATAGTTACAAGCTCCTAATGATGTTCGAAGAAGGAAAAGAAGAAGGAAAACACAAGTACCTGCAAGACTGACAGTATTTTGTCAAAATACATGTATATGTTTGTTCTGTAAGTAAAAAAAAAACAGCACAAATCACTTTACCTGCCTGACTGATAGGACATGCCTTCAAGAGCTTCTTGAGCACCTTGTGTTATTAACCGCTCTTGTTTTAATTGTAGTCGCCGCCGCTTAGTCGATGGCAGTGCCGATCTTTCCTGGACACGCTTCCTATGCTTCTGGCATTTATCTGCATATCTGAGGCTGTGGACACCAGGGGAAAGACCTGCCTCTGAGTGTACCTGAAAGCAGTAATCAGATTATTTAGCACACTTTAAAATGACATATTCAGTCAAACATGGATATTGTAAGAAAAAAAATTTCTCCAAACACTTGATCTAAATATAAACCCAGGCAAAAATAATTCAGATAAAATGGGAACTATTCATAACTCTTTACTATTGTTGAGGAAAATTGCATTATGATTCTTGTAAAAGTAACACCATTATTCAATAAAGTTTGCTTAAAGTGCGCCGGGTCGTTTTACATGCACATTGCATTAACGGCATAACGATGGTCTCCTATAAAATGCCGAAAGTACAAAAAGTAAACTTTTCGGGGGAAGGTTTTCATGATAAATCTGATAAATACAAAAAACCTTTTTGTTGCTAATTAACATGTTATATAGTTACTATTCAATGTATGTTCTCATTGTAAAGTAATATCTTCTCCTTTGGCAAAAAAGCAGTTTAGGCATTTTATAAAACGTAGGTGCAGCTTCGGCATTAAAAAAATGCTTTTTAAATTTCCGAAAAAGCATTTTGCATCAGAAAAATGAAGCTTCGGGTTTTTGCTTTATAATTGATATAGTTTTGTAACATGATTTTAACACTACTTTGCTGTTCAGACTTTATATTTAAGAAATAACATCGGCCTGAGAGGTGTATATCGGCTATTTAACACCGGTTTGGAGTTTTGATGCGTAGGAATTGACCACGAAGGCAGTAGGCCTGAGTGGTTAATTTTCTCGCATCAAAACGACATATACACCTCTCAGGCCGATGTTATTTCGATTCTAACACAATAAAATAAGGAAGATCACTAATGTTACTTTTTTCAAGCGTAAATAACTTCAGGTGCCGATTTTCGTATAACGCTGTTCGATTTTTGCACCCAACTGTTGCGAAGATATAGAAATTATTTTAAAAAAAGAAATAATAAGAAAAAAACGTTATTTTATCAAGTTTTCAGCAACAAAAAAACTTACGTTGTATTGTGTTTATGTCAGTGCTCCATTTATCATTCTCAGGGGGTCGAACGTACAGCGGTGCGATACTCCTTTAAGCGAGGTTAAATCATGCGATACGGAATAATGGCGGATTTATTAGTGTAAACACACGTCAGAGTGAGTGTATTTTATTAATTATTTCATAAATTTTCGGTTACAATTGCATATTTTGAATTGAAGATGTGAAGATAGGATAGACACACATTTCATCAAAATTACAGAGGCTTAAATTCAAAATTCAAAAAGTTATTGAAGGTAAACTGACGGCAACTGATTTTTTGTCGGTGAATAAAATCGCTTAAAGCGAGCTTATATTTATATAGTTAATTTCTTTTTCTTCTTTATTCTAAAAGGGTAACCATAATTGAGTTGCATAGCAAGCATATTTGTGATCCGATATACATAGACGCTTACTGGTCAAAATATTTAAGTGTACGCTGGGTTTTTGGTGCGATAAAATAACTGTACGCTGTTAAATGTTCGATATTTTTCCATTTTCACACCTGTTGTACATGTTTCCCTATGATTACACTAAGAGATCTACCATATATATGTCCGTTTCCGGATTTCTGAAGAAAAATGTTTTTATATCTTCTTCTTTCCTTAAGGATTTACTTCAAATAAAAGTTTCGTATCACTATCTATATAAGTGTTACTATTTGAACTAAATTTTAATAGTTAGATATCTACATGTGATAATAAGGAGTTGGAAAAAGTAACCTTTACTCTCAGATCTTAGATAACTATATGTCTGTCATCTCTAAAGTTTTAACAACGTTACATTGTTACTGTATCTTCATTCCAAAAATGTATCGCCCTTTCCAACAACAAGAGTCTTGTTTTTTGTACTGTATCATGTTTGAGATTTATCTTTCCTTTTGATCATGGAATTTGTGTTAAGTTTTTTTCTGTAGTCTTATTTATTACTGAAGAATCTTTGCAATTTAATTTTGTAGTTTATTTTCATCTATGATATGTCTGACATTTGATTTTGCTCTTGATATTGATTAGGCAATACTGTATTCCTAGAAATTATTTCGAGCTTATTAAATTAGCTATTTACGCGTTAAATACATTTCCGCGAATGTTTGTATCCGCAAAAAAGTTGCATGTAACAAATCCGCGAAACATTGTAGCTTAGAATTTCTACTTCGCACCTCATTCACATAAAAGGCAGCATAAAAGTTCAAAAAGAATTTAACTCCAACTTGCCACTTATGACATAAAATTAATAGGGTTTTTGTCAATGTTTTTTATTTTTTAATTTTCTAAAACATATATTATTTATATATATATATATATATATATATATATATATATATATATATATATATATATATATATATATATATATATATATAATATCCACTTCTCATATGTTGCTGTTTTAATTATGTATGGGAAGTAGGCAGTAGCAGTAGCAGCAGTAGGAAACGTGAAGTTAGCAGTAGCAGTAGCACAGCAGTAGCAGTAGCAGTTTTATAAAACGTGAAGTTGGCAGTAGCAGTAGCTCAGCAGTAGCAGTATCAAAATTATAAAACGTGAAATTGGCAGTAGCAGTAGCTCAGCAGTAGCAGTAGCAAATTTATAAAACGTGAAGTTGTCAGTAGCAGTAGCTCAGCAGTAGCAGTAGCAAATTTATAAAACGTGAAAACAGCGTGAAATTGGCAGTAGCAGTAGCTCAGCAGTAGCAGTAGCAAAATTATAAAACGTGAAGTTGGCAGTAGCAGTAGCTCAGCAGTAGCAGTAGCAAAATTATAAAACGTGAAGTTGGCAGTTGCAGTAGCTCAGCAGTAGCAGTAGCAAAATTATAAAACGTGAAGTTGGCAGTAGCAGTAGCTCAGCAGTAGCAGTAGCAAAATTATAAAACGTGAAGTTGGCAGCAGCAGTAGCTCAGCAGTAGCAGTAGCAAAATTATAAAACGTGAAGTTGGCAGTAGCAGTTGCTCAGCAGTAGCAGTAGCAAAATTATAAAACGTGAAGTTGGCAGTAGCAGTAGCTCAGCAGTAGCAGTAGCAAAATTATAAAACGTGAAGTTGGCAGTTGCAGTAGCTCAGCAGTAGCAGTAGCAAAATTATAAAACGTGAAGTTGGCAGTAGCAGTAGCTCAGCAGTAGCAGTAGAAAAATTATAAAACGTGAAGTTGGCAGTAGCAGTAGCTTAGCAGTAGCAGTAGCAAATTTATAAATCGTGAAGTTGGCAGTAGCAGTAGCTCAGCAGTAGCAGTAGCAAAATTATAAAACGTGAAGTTGGCAGTAGCAGTAGCTCAGCAGTAGCAGTAGCAAATTTATAAAACGTGAAATTGGCAGTAGCAGTAGCAGTAGCAAAATTATAAAACGAGCATTGAGCATTGACATGAATAATACATTTTCAACAATTCATGTATTACAACTTCCACAATATGACTATTTTCAGTGTTAATTTTTAGTTAATACAAATTTATTTATTTTATTTTGTTATTCAACATCAATTGGTAAAAAATAACACTATTTACTGGGTTGAGTAAAGCAGTCAATCTAAATTATGGGGACATGTTACAGAAAGAAGGAAGACAATGTTATATATATTGTTTCATCATATATGTAATTGTACTTTAGAGAAATTTTAAATCTACAACCGAAGATCGGTTGCCTTCGTAATGCCTGCCGAACACTTCTGAATACTCCAGGTAATCGATTTCATGACCGATCATAACATAATTTATCAATAAATGATTTATATATGACGTACGTCTTTTTTCAAATTTACAAACTGGACAAGATTTCTTTTTTTTTATTAAACGAGCAAACTATAACTTTCAATCTGGACATAGGTGCGTAATTCGACATATGATTTTCGACATTTTCACTTTTCATAATATTTTCTGTAGTTGGTAGTATTAATCGGGTTTCATTTTTTCCAGCAAATCAGAAAGTACTGACCTTTGGTTAATGCACATGCAAACGAAAACATGATGAAAATTAATTTCCTCTAAAAAACACCAATTTTATGTTGATTTTTTTAACTGATTCGAAGACATGTGTCAAGATATCAGATGTGGTGTACATTTTGTATTTCCAAATAACTAGTTTCTTACATTAGAGTACATTGAATAGGACGGAGCTATGAAAAATGATACTCTGATGCTAAGATATTAATTATATCACTTAGGAATCGATGTTGATAAGCAAGACATACAAACTACAGCGTTTTGCTTACTGTCTATTGCTTGCTGTGCATATTTTAAAGCAATAATATCAAAACATTCCGAATATTGTGATAACGTTACAACAAACAGTGTACTGTCTACTGCCTATTTCTAACTATTTTCTTCTTGTTTCAAAATAAAAAATGTATTGCAATCACATTGGTCAAAGAACTATATATACAGTTGCCGAAATAGTTTATGTTTTTTGTATTTACTCATAGATAGCAGTCACATATAAGGCACGCATCAAGGCTCCCTCAAAACTGTTTTCACTGCGACTATAGATATTAATAAAGGATCGATCTTTATAGCTGACCTTTTATTCTTGTTGTTTACTACTTCTGGACTGAATAAAATGTAATAATATGTAAAACATGCTCGAATTCGAAATATTCAGTGTATAACTTCTTTACTGTATAAGTACAACATTGACCATCGGTGTGTATGACGGTCATGAGTTATTCCGGGAGAATGGATCACTCTCATTGAGATTACCAACTCGTCCTATCCGACTCCTAACACAACGAATTCACACAGTCCGAATAAAGTTCAATACTCCGTATTACCGTTTCTTGTATTCTACTATTCAAGTTCAGTATCCCCCAGACATAAACTAACCAACCACTGTGTACGTTGGGCAACCGGTACTAGTACCAACGCTTAAAATCCAATTTGCATATTAGTACTTTGTGATAAAGGCGAACGTATTGAAAGTGCGAGGTCGAATACTTGAATCTCGACTACGAGTTTGAAGGCCACCTAGTTCAACAAGCAATAATCACAGTATTGCAAGCAATGTAGGAGCACATTTGTCTCGGGTCACATTTGTCTCACGAGGTGTGACCGATGTGCTCGTAAACATTTATATTTGCGAAAAATGGGAAATGAGACAGAAGTGTTCGACACACAATAGAAAGGACACTCGAATCACATTTGTCTCACATTATTCCATAAAATTCTAAAATGGTAATAATTATGCCCGTCCGTATCATGGCAACCAGTCATTGTTCTGTGTTGTCTGTATTTATAATACCGTTTTTATGTCACTTCCGACCGATCAAAACCTTCCTACCTCTGCATAGGAGTCCTATATTAGCTAAAAGAATATCCCTGTTCTGCGTGTCACAATGAAAATTT